GAAATAAAAGATAGCATACGCGCACGACACGGCCATTCTGCCAATGTCACTGGTCGTGTCGCTGCCCTTATCAGGTTCTAGTGAACGAATTTTGGTCTCTTAATGTGACATGGCCCGTGTTAGGTTCCAGCGCCCGTGTCACATATCTACACTCTCTTTCTTGCTCGTTTCATACGTTTCTTCCAATTTTTTTCATTCTTTCATCAATCCTTTATCATCTCGGGGGTCTTTGATATTCACCATGCGCCTCTAATAGCCAAAAAGCTCTACAAAATGTGGAAATTTCTACAAAACAAGCACGTGTAATTTCTTTCTAACAAGATATAAAATTTAAACACAATAATGCAATTTATATACAAATGATGCAGTGAATAAGATCTAGATACTATATAACTACGGAATAAATCACACATGAACAGTTCTCCAAGAAATAAATCAGCGACGTCCACTCATCTCAAATCAATCCAAGAAATAAACGTTGGTTCTTCAAGTCAAAATCCATTTTCGACGATTCAAATCAAAATTTAAGAAGAAAAATCCAGAGGGGATAAATTGAGATTGCACCTGTAATATTGTTTGATCAAAATAAAATCAAGTTGTACAAAAGTTTTATGTTTTTCATAATGTTTATTGTTACACCAAAATATGCAATGATAAAGTTGAAACTCCAGAAGCTGCCCTCGGCTCTTTTCCTTCCACGTATTTTTTCATCATGAATGCAATGTCATTGAAGTCTCTTCTCATGGGCCAAAACTTACCCTAATTAGATTTTCTACCTTTGAGATAGTTCTATGTCCTCACTCTTTCATGAAATTCAGTGCTAGCATGTAAAAAGATGTCCCCATATTTTTCCAAATCACCTTCCATTTTGAACTCCATCTCTAAGCAAAAATTTTTAGAGATAGTTTTGGAAATCTCTACAATGTCCTTCCAAAGCTAAAGAAGACCCCCCACTAATGCAAGTCAGTTCAATAGTGTACCAATAATTGTTGATTCTAAGTTGTCTGCTGACAGTTTGTACAAGGACCTTTTTTTTTCACAAATACAAAAAAGGTCTGGGTGGTGGAGTCTCCACGACTCTTTCAGCTGAGAATTGTACATAGTCCTCCCAAACATCTACACTTCAACACTAGAATTCTCATTAATCACCTTGGGACACTTTGGGCTGGCCACCACCATCTAAAGGGAAGGTTCTCTATTTACCGTAGTCTTTTGTTGTTGCCTTCAATTCCAATGAGTGTAGCTACTTCCTTAGCCTTATCATTAACTATTCTCGTTTTTTTTCCTTCTCCTTATCAATTTCATGGCCAATAGTTGTTTCCTTCTGATTGATATTCTCATTATCCAGGGTTTTCAGCCTCTTCCAAGTATGTATAGGGGTTTTTAGGCGTGGCTAGGTTTCTGGGTATGTTGAATGATTTGGACTAGAAGTATGAACAAACGACAATTGGGGATTTGGTTTGGTGAAATTGCTAGCTTTTTCAGAAAATAACAATTTCATAGCAGTTTCTGGATGGGTGGGGGTTCCAATACTATTTGTTGAACAATCATATCTTCAATGAGGGCTTAATGTGAGTAGTTTAGGAGTTATAGAAGTCTTTTCTCTTGTGATTGGGATGCCTGAGGTGGGTTCTTGTTTGAAGGCTTCTAGGAGATAGGGTTGGAAGGAGAGAATTAGACTGTGACAATACCAAGAGAGAGGAGTGTGTGTAGAGAGTGAGTTTTGGGGGTTTTGTGAGTTTTTCAATCTGCTTCCTCCTTAAGAAGTGGTAACCACATTGATCCATTCAATGTATAGCTCTTCTAGAAAACGATCATTGACTACATCAGACTTTCTCTAGTCACAACCTTTTTTTGGATGACCTATTCTCCCAAAGTAAAAGCAGGTATTGATGAGCTTCTTTTACGTGAAGCCAATCCATGCTTCCTCGCCTCCAAGTTTTAAGCAATCACATCGCAGTAACATTTTTCAGACCGAGTGTCTCCACTAATATCAGATATCTGCCCTTGTACATTCTGTCTCTTGGAATAAAGAATCTTTTACCGTTGGGTAAATTTTTCCTATTTTCAACCCGACATCAGCGCATAACCATTGTACGAGTACTTTTCTAATCTTGAACCCAGATGTCAAGTTAAGTAAATTTCTGGCTTTCGGCATTTATGACTTTTTTCCACTTATTGAGGATGATATATTGGTTATCAAAGGTCCAATTTCCCCTTTATGAACTTTTTTTTTTTTTATTTTTTTGGTCTTGGGTCGAAGAAAAAACAAGTTGCAATAAGTTTAGCTCAATTACTCAAGTACCTGAAGGTTTATCAACTGGCAAATCTGAGAAGAACGTACGTTGAATACCCCAAAAGTTCACTCATTTTTTTCGAATGATTTTTTCAAACAGACTCCGCTCACATTCATCTTTGCTAACAGATATGTCTTGTGCTTCTAAATCTATGCCTAATTCTTCAAATTTTGAGACCACAAACCTTCCATTCCCAGAGAACCACTGTCAACCAAGGACGAAAACAGAAAAACCTATGACCTCCGTGTCAAGACTCGAAAGAAGCAATAATAAGAGTCAAGACTTACCACGAGAGCACCTGGAGACTCGGAAAGAAGAAGGCAATGGGCACGAGGAAGGGCAAGAAACTTAGAGACACATGAAGCTGTTGTAGCAAATTATTTTTATTTTTACCGAGAACCGAATCAAAAGATTCGTTCCCCGGGTCGATCTCTCAAGGAAGACGTTTCAGAATTTAGCGTTGGCATTGATCACACACGAAAAGAAAATAAATCCTAAACATTCTAATCATGGTTGATTTGGAGAATTAACTAAACAAGTCAAAACTAGAAAAACAATTTAAAGAAATAACAACTAAATTTCTAGAGAAAAAGAAGAAGTTCTAGGGGTCGGGAAATCTCATCAAGTTTCAAACTATGTTGAATGATTATTTGCTCGGTTACGAGATTTAACAAGCCTACACGTCTAGAGGGCTATGCTCAATAACTCTTCGTAACAAGAGCACATACATAAACGATAAACTCATTCAAACAAGCAACACATAGACAATACGTTTTCGAACATGTCTACTCTATACGAGCCTAAATCGACCAACGCCTCCCCTCTCGGTTCTACACGTTGATTAACTAGGTTAGAATGGTGATCAATCAACTAGCCCTATAATTCACACAACTCGCATAGATTGAACAAAACACATTCCACATAATTCAAACAAGAATCAAAATCCCTAACCCTAGGTGAATGGATTACCTCATGCTTAGATTCA